ATTTTTAACAGAGCAGGAAATAATGTCTGCAAAGGCTTTGCTGGGGTTGGCAACACTGTGAACAGGTTTGGGAGAATGTACCCATTCCCACCTATTTCTGATCATTTTCCATCCATCAATGTGGTGAGGGGAGGGGAATTGGAATGGCCACAGAGACGTAGCTTCTAGAAGCCCCATTTTCTTGGACTTCTCTAGAACTTTGCCTCAGTCATGGACATTAGAGGGGAAATTAATCTTGAAATAAATTCAGACAAATGGGGAGGATGAGTGAGTTTACCACCAAACAAAACTGGATCTCTTTGAGGTTGAGTCTAACCCTGCAGGGTTAATTAACTAGACATGAACTCTGTTTTGGAGTCACCATGACATAGTTACAGTATTCCCCCTCCCCGCAAACCATGTCAAGCATGTCAAGTAAATAGTAGGAATGACTTTCAGCTCCTGGAATTTCAGGAAGACTGAAATGCTTCTCCCATTTATTTTCTAACAATGAGGCAGTCCCAGCAATGTGCACAGGGAGGAATTAAGTAGGCATGTACAAGCTCGTAAAGAAAGGGTGTTGATCGTGATGCTGCAACTACCTTCTTCCTTATTTTGATCCCTCCCTGCTGGAAGCTGCTGGATTGTCCATTATGATTATAGGAGTGAAGAAAGCAACTTGATTTGGATGCCTCTCTGAATGAACACCTGATTTTTGCCCACAATTCTTAAGCCAGAAAATTGTACGTGATTACAGGTTTATTCTTTGAAACTCCTTTAGTAGAAGTGTAATATGCTCAAACAACCAGCTGCTATATTCTGAATCAGCTGAAATTCTCCCAGTCTTCAAGGGCAAACCATTTCAATAATCTGTCTTAGAGGTTACCATGACATATGTCAAAATGGCCAAATCATTATTTTTGAAATCACAAATGGGGGCTTATTCACTTGAATAGAGATGGATAAGATTTTGTCAGTCCAGGGCAAAGCCTCTGCCTTCCCCTAACAATTGATTCCAATTCATATTCCAGTTTAAAAGAAATGACTCCTCTCCCCATATAGTAGCACAAATTACAGAAAATTATTTTGTATATCTCAGATAGTTATGAGTCAACCTGTTTTGTCTACTGTTTCATCTGATGATCATCATGTTTTGCTTCATTTGTGTTTCCTTCACATTAACACATTAACATGAATGGCTGTAGGCCCTTTGGTCTGAGAAGCATCTTTGACATGTATCAGGAAATGCACCTCTCAAGAGGAGCAGCTGGCATGAATAATCTGCTCATAGGAATCAGATTTGGAGGTGATGGTTCCAAATGTGATGTGTATTCTAGTGTAGAAAAGGACAGAATGATATCTGGAGGGAAAAGTCTCCATTGATCAGACTGGTTTCTGCATTGCAAAAGTTGTCCAAGAGCTAAAGGAACTTTGGGTCCAAGCCTTCCTCTCTCTGTTTTTATCTTTACAGGAGGTGGGGGGAACAGATGAACAGGCAGCATTTGCAAGAGTAGCAGAGTAAAATGTGGCATATAGCTGTCTTAGAGAACATATTGCAAATTTCCTCAGTGTGAGACCCTTGAATGCCTGGCTACTTTAGAGATCTGTACCAGCTGTATTCCTACAACAGTCGGAAACTACCTGGCCTGGTTCCCCACAATAGCTCTCATTCTGAGGAAAGCTTCCATAGAGGAGGTCATTGGCCCCATTTGGTTGGGTGTGTCTATGGCTGGCACAAGAGCTGTTGGTGGCTGTTAGTTTCTTCTGAGAGAAACTGGGGAGAAAGCCTACAATTTTCAGCCTGCCCGGACTGCCTCCTGAGGCAAGGGCCTCACCCTGCCTCATGAAAGGACTAGTGCTGCCCTGCGTACAACAAATCATTGCATTATATGTTTTTGTAAGAACTGGGTGAAGGGTTTGGTGCAGTGAACTGTCACATTAGAGCATTCAAACAAATGGTCCAACCTAATTAATCTTCATAACAAAAAACTGTGTTTATAGCCATTTTCATAAGAGAAAATATCTTGCTACGTTACTACAATTAATATTAAGTGCAGGAATATGAATGCAGCTCCCTGCCCGTTTTGTTCATTCCTATACATAATGTCTGTAAGATCTGTTATGTATGACACATTTTCCTCCTTTGGATTGTTCAAGATATAAAAAAATGCTGTGCTGAACTCTGCCCCATGTTTGGGAAAGTCTTTACTCTCTCCCAATGAGGGACAATGTTTGTATGCCTCTTTCAGAGAGATTAAAAGATCTAAAAAGAAAAAAAAAACCTCTCAGAAAGAGAGGTTGCAGGAAGTGGCTGAGAGGTTGTTCCATCTTTCTTTTGTTTACTCTAAAAATGCCAATGTGCCTGCTTGTGGCATGCACCCCAGGCTCTTATTCTCCATACAGCTACTTGCTTACCGCCTCAGAATTAAAACTGTAGCTGTGAGAAGGAAGGGCGTCCTGCGTGCCCTGTGAGCAAGCAGAGCGAGGGAGAAAGTTCTCCACCACCTCCAGCATGGAAGGAAGGAAGGGGAACTTTTCTCCCCTTCCTTTAGACTTTCTAAAGAGATTATCTAAATCAGTTCTTATCCCTCCTCCTTTTATTTCATTTTTTAAAAAAAAAAAATTAACACACAGGGCAAATTGAAAGGGGAATAAACCATTAGGCAAAATCCTAAAGCAAACAGATCTCAGATGAGGGTGAGACCAATGCAAAGGCTGCTGTGGTGACAAAAACTTCAGGCACCAGTGTGAAAAAATCCAAACGTTAGAAAAAAAAAAAATCCAAACAGTAGCATAATATCTCAGAACCATTTAAAAAGGAGAAAGCAGCGATCTGTTTTTTACCCTGGTGAGATATTAAACTCAAAAAACAGGACAAAAGAGAAAGATGTTTTTAAGAGTAGTAATGGAGATGGTGGGAGATTCATCTTCAATATGCAGCCTTATTAAGCTGAGAACCCAGGAAGCTCTTTTCAGGCAATTTAAATTAATTTGTGCCAAAGATACATATTAAGGCATACTGTGACAAAGCAACATGGCTGAGCACTCTTTGGAAATATAAAAGATGCCAGTTATTAAGATCTGTTTCCATCACTAATTAGAACATACGACTCCTTGCAAAGCAGAAAGCAGAAGGAGAGAACAGTATTCGTTTTTATTAGCAAAGCTTGATATTAATTTTAGATGATACTAAAAGCAAAATGAGCTGGCATTACTTATGACACATTAATTTCTTTTTTAGACAAATTTTTTAGGGGCAGAGAGGGCAACTTGTAATCCCTGAGTCCCTTTTGTATGTCCATAGAGTCCCCTTTGACCATGCTCACTGGAAACTAAAGGCACAGTTTCCTGTTGTGTTAATGCAAAACAGATGAAAACAGAAATTTAAGCCTTAAACTGCATATCCATAAGACCCTCAAAGATCCCTCCAAACCCAGCCCTGCCCACCTGTATAATGTGACGTTGCAGTCTCAGCCTCTTAAAAATGTAATCCCTGGCTTGAGGTCATCTTCCAGTTCTGTTTTCTGGATGGTTAAATTTAGTATTTTCCAAAAATGGTAACTCACACAAGCAATCATGATGATCTGTTAGAAAATAAGCCAGGTTGCAACTGTAAGAAAGTATTAAGATCGGCTCAGAGGCTATGTGTGTGCTACGTGGCAGATGCAGATATCTGCTCTCCCAGTCAATTGTCTCACGTTCTTGCATCAGCAGCACATGATCTGGGTTGACAGGGTCAGCTATGCAATAGCCATTTTTTCAGACCTGCCTCCCACCACATAACATTTCCTCTCTTTTTTAAAACAAAAGTCAAAGAAAATCAGTATGGTAGTGATGCAATCAGATGGGTGTCCTGGTATATAGGAGTCAGGAAAGCCTTCTCTCCTTCCATTTTCTACTTTCTCCACCCCATGCCTTTGATGAGCAAAAAAAAAGAAAAAAAAGAAAGGAAAAAAAAGGAAAGGAAAGGAAAGGAAAAAAAAGGAAACAAAGTGTCTAGAAATGTCCAGTTTTTGTGGATCCTCCATAAGTGCATCTCTTTGTATAATGTGATTGAGCATGTGTGTGTGTGATTATTTCAAGTTTTAATATTTAACTCTTGGTTTTATATTATCAGAAGAACAGTTCTCCTAAAGGCAATGCAAGGTCTATAGAGTGAAAGACTGTTGCTAGAGTCTCTTCTTCCCACAATTTATTTGCTTCCTTAAAAAAAAAAAAACCTTTGCCACATGATTTAAAAAGCTTCTACTTGCTTGGTGACAAATTCTTCTCTCTTCTTTCCAATGGAACAGCTGGCAGAACGATTGAAGTTCTCTGACCCACGGCTCCTGGAGAAGGCAGAATATGAGATGGATTTGGAACCAGATTGGCTCATTGAACTTAGAGCCCGGTATCAACAATGGGAGGTAAGAATTATGGGATAATGTGCTCTTGCAGATGGATTGATCTGTGATTTTGTGGTTCTGGCCACTCAGATTGAATTGAATGATGCGATATCAACGTATTATTGGATTTGATTATTTGTATGTTTCCTATTTGATGATCAGTGAAAGTATTCTTATTTTTTTTAAAGACAGGGATGAAAGTTAAGATCTGGGTCTGCCAAATATCTGGACTGGTGCAGCCATTGTGTTTTCTTTATAGGTTTTCTGTTTTCTGTTTATTTGTCATTGAAATAAACTGGGTTTTAAGCTGGGTTGGACTTTAGTATGCTGGAGTGGGCAGACTTTAGGCTTGTGGAATTTAGGTATTGTTTTAATTGAATCCCCACAGCACAGTACCTAGCTGACTGGCTGATTTCAAAAAAACCTAAGTAGGACCAGACCTGATTAATACTTCGATGGGAGGCAGCGAGAAAAATCCCAGGACTGTAGGTTAGAAACTACAGTCAAACTGGCAAATTGCTTTTGTATTGTTGCCAAGAAAACTTCATGGCATTCATGGTTCATTTATGACCCAACTCAAAGGACTGACTTTTTTTCAGTCTTTGTAAGGACTGAAGCTGATGAGGTAGGAACTACTGATTCTCAGGCCAGTCAGAACCATTAAGTAAACATTGAACAAGTGTCCTTCATTCTCAAGGCTAGGAAGAGGATGACCAAATTTCCACTGACTTAAAAAGACAGGAGGAAAAGACTAGAATTTAAACCCTGGAACAGACATATAGTCGATACACAGAAACACAGGCAAACCAGTCTTGATTTCTGTGTTCTAACTTGACTAAAATAAAACAGTTTATCTAGCCACATTGTGTCTCTGAAATTTCTGTAAATAATTTCCTGCTCCTGAATATGAGGTTAGATGTCTGATGAGCTGAGATTTTTCACCCTGTCTGGTGTGAAGTCTAACTATCTTTAAGCTTCTCCAACAGGAATCAGGTATTTTGGTAGTGGTTCAAACTGGCATTGTCAGCCTTACCAGGTAGACCAGACAGGAAACATGACCAGATAAACTAATTCTACTTTATTGTAAAACTACATTAAGAGAATCTTACAAGTCTGAAAGTACAATTCTCCCGTTGTCATCTTGACAGCCCAAGAACCTAGGGAGGGTCCCTTCTGAGCCTCTTGCTCCCCCCACTCTGCAACTGCGGGCTATGCTGTCTTTTATCTGACCATTCCCTAGGCAGCGTCTCTTCATCCATCTCCCAAGGTCTTTCCCATATATCATTACAGGCATGTACCCATGTTATTTTTTATTTTCACTACAACAGAGCTCTGGAGTGAAATGTGATCCTAATTAGTGAATAGGGGAAGGAGGAACCAATTCTTTATATTTGTGGTAAGGAAGAACCCCACGCCAAAAAAACCAGAAGCAGAGATGAGTTGGGGAGATTTCATGTGAAGTCCTGCAATTTGCATGCCTAGCATAGCTATGTTTTTCCTCCCTCAGGTGGATTTGATTTTGACAGGCCTGCCTGGAAACAGGTTCCAGAATGGCTATCAAACAGAATGCAAGAGAAGAGGAAAACTAGATGTCCTCTGTCATTCATACTACGGGGCCCCAGACAGAGCAGATTTTTAAATGTTTGAGCTTTTCTGTTGCTGCTAGGAAGGCAGTTAGTTTCTCTTGAGAAAATTTGATGAACGTTGGGTGCCCAAAAGAAACTGGATCCACGAGACAGCTTGCTTTTACCAGGGGTATAGGTATAGCTTTCTGGATCCAAAGACAAATCTCTCATTGGGGCTGCAAAATCCAGGCAAATACTAGAGATAAAGTTTCTGTATCTCTTTGTTGCCATGTCTATTTGTTGCCTAGATTTGCCTGTTTTCTCTCCCCTTGTTTCATCACCATCAGGAAGAAAGGGAAAGGTGAGAAAAGAAAGAGAGCAGCTAACATTGATAGAGCCTCCAAGGCTCAGGGGTGGCCATGAAGGAGGAGGTAATAGGAGTAGTAGCAATGCTAGCACTTCTTGGACTTCCCCCCTCCCTCCCTCCCTCCCTCCCTCCCTAAATTTCATGTAAATATAAAGGAAAGCTTCCTGGTGGTAAGATATGTAGGATAGTGGAAGGGTCTCCTTATAAAGGTGAAAGTTTTCCATCTCTGGTGGATTTTAAGAAGAGGCTGGACAGCCATCTCTTATGGGCATTTTAATTGGTTTTCCTGCACATTGCAGAGGATTGGACTAGATGATCCCTGTGACCCCTTCCAGCCCCACAATTCACTGATTCCTCTGTGCTGCTCTTCTGGCATGGCTCCAGATGGAGTCTGTGCTTGGGCCATCATGTTTGGGCTGCAAAAATCCAAACTGCACTAGACATGGCAGCAAAGCGATATTGAAAACTCAAATTCTTTGTTGCTCTCTAGTGGTTGTTTGGATTTTTGCAGCCTAGACATGAGAATTCTATCCTACACAATCAGGTTTCTTAAAGGGGTAGAGCAAGGCAGGGTGCCAAGGTGGAGCTGACAGGCCTCCTGTGCCTGAGGACCCAAGACAACTGGTTACTGTGCCTTCCTGGTATTTATACCACTCATTGATATTGACAAACCAAGAATCTTGGTGCTGTTGAGGTGTATTTAAGATGGCTGCATAAGAAAATGGATAAGTTTGAAGACAGCAGAAGTGAAACTACCTGGCTGAGACTAGTTAGTTTTAGGTGTTGTGAACAAGACTTTATTTTTTATTTATTTATTTGTTCAATCTATACAGCTGCCCATTTCACATACGTGACTCTGGGCAGCTCACACAGTTTTCAAGGCTGTCAATGGAACTGCTTTAATCTTAATAAGGGCTGTGCAAATTGAAGAAACTTGGGGCTGTTCCAAAGAAAGATTCTTATAAAGAGAGTGGTGGGAGGTTGCTAAAAGGCACGGCCATCCAAACAAACCTACAGAGGATGGGTGCAAACGTTTTGCCTGGGTACCTCATATAACCTGCCAGCAACTTTTTCTGGCTCCCAAACCTGGGGCCAAACTATTCGTCTTTCTTTTTTTTTAATAAAGGGGCTTGAAAAGGGAATTGTGGGGAGATTTAAAAATGATTCTGGAGGGTTCACCCCTTAAATTCCTTCCTCCCAAACTTTCAGAATCAGTCCTGGAACAGATCACTTTTGCAGTGTGTCACAAGGCTTGATGCATCCCTAAAACTGATGGAAGTTGCCCACTCCTGTTATAGAAGGAAAACAGGCAGAAAGTCCAGTTAGAGAAACTTTATTCCACGATCACAACAATCTGTGGTAGTTTAACTGAAGGGCTTTAGAAGTGCTTGCTGAGAGAAGGGACATGCGCAGGGGCCAGGATGTCATGCTAAAATTGCTGAATGCTAGAAATATAAATGAAGAGGTCACAGCTGCATTCTAGAGGTGAGAGTAGTTGCAAAACCTACTGACACCAATGAGGATTTTTTTTTTTTTTTTGAGAACCAGTTGCAAGCTTGATGATTCTGCCAAATCATGAGAAGTGCCTTGGAGACCAACAGCTGTGCAGTGTGTTTAAAGCTTACATAAGAGCTAATGAAAATAGGTTTTCAGAAGTTGTCTAAAAAAGCTTCTAGAGTGTGCATTGTCTCCAACTGACTACAACATCTCTGGCTGAAATTAGGCTGCCTAGGAGTATTTTATAGTTAGTACTCAGCACAGAGGCAGAAAATGTAAATGGGCAAAGAAGCATCTGTTGAAATAGGCATAGTAAGCTTATGAGGAAAAACAACATAGAGGCTTGCAAGGAAAAAGAAACCATAAAGATTTCTCCAATAAACTACAGCTTAAAGAAAGAGCTCTTCCCTAGGCAGTTCATATAGCCAGAATGATATCAATCTCATTACTGCCAAAATAAAAGCAGAATTGGAAAAGATGGTCCAGTGTGGAGTGACTTAAATGATTGTGACAAACTAGTGCACTCCAAGGAGACTGGCAGAGTTTGCATATACGTAGAGCTCAAAAAAGTGTACAAAGTCATGAAAAGAAAGAAGCATATTCTGCTCAGTTGAAACAACATTCTTCCATGGTTTGCAAAAACTTGGATCTGTCCTCCTTGGTTGATGTTGCCAGCAGATTAGGCCCAGCTTAGGCTAAATTATATCATTTGGCAGAATTTTCTTTAAAAGACCACCATGGGGAATTTTTAGGTGTCTTGGGTTGTTAGGAAAACATCTGTATAGGTAGTCCCCGGGTTAAGAATGCCCGGTTGAAGGACAACCCATAATTAAGAACGGAGCCTATTGTAGCAGAATCCAAGTTAAATACACAATGATTCGAGTTAAATTCACAGTGGTTCAAGTTCATTACACAATACCACTTATACAGTATTATACAATAATACTGTTCCGGCTTACATACAAATTCGACTTAAGGACAGATGTTGGGAATGGAACTCATTCTTAAACTGGGATTACCTGTATTTCTATAGCACCTGAAGGATATTTTGATTTTTAGGGATGGCATCTTAATCTAAAGCCTAACTGACAATGGACTTGACTGAGGCTTCCTAAAGTTCTAGGACCTGTAAAAGCTGCACTTTTCAAATAGAACAAACATAAATACCTCTGATGCTTGAAAGAGCTTACATATCTGGGACATTGCATAAATGAATATGAAATGAGCCCAAATCCAAAGTGGAAGCTATTTTAAGAATAAACTCCTCCACTATCCTTAACTGAGGTAGGGAGATTTGGGGCATGGTGCAGTATCTTGAAAGATTTCTGACTGATGAGTTTACCAAATTAACTTTAAATGAACTGCTCAAAATATAACATTTGACAGATGCAAGATGAAGCTTTCAGAAGTGTCAAGCAACTCTTAACTGAAGCCCTGGCATTGGTATTCTGTAATCTCAACCAACATCTTGTTATTACAATGCCCAACAGTAGCAATTATGGAATAGGAGGAAGAGTTTTCAAGAACTTAAAGGAGAGCTGAACCAATAGCCTCCTCTAAAACATTAACAGATCCAGAAACACGTTATGCCCAAATTGAAAGTATTTTTTCATGGTTGTATGGAATCATTAGACCTATAGACAGACTAGAAGGCATTGGATTTCCCTGATAAATTGCAAATATTTAAATTGGCTTAGGTAACAGTGAGAGCCTTGTCCTCTAGATGATTATAACCCTCATATTGAATATACAGGGGCAGATACTTTATCTTGGCATCTGCTAAAACTTGTGATCCAGATTTACTGAAACTTTCAGAAGAAATTGAGAATTGTTTTTATATTCTTTTATATGTCAATGTGTCTGGATCACTGATTATAATAAAGAACGTAGGTAGGTAGGTATGCATGTATGCATGCAGTGTTTTGAATTGTTTGGAGAAATATAACTTTTTCACATCATAGAGCTGCCATCACCATCTATAAACTGATTGGGAAGAAAAAAAGTGGTCCAAACTGCAAAATGAATTTCTAACCGAGTGTAGAGGGAAGAGGGGATGGCCTTAAAGGAGAGGAGGAAGAGCCTCTACCAAGGCAACAATCAGACAAGCATAGCTCGAGCCCATTCCAAGAAACTAATTTGAGTAAATGTCTCAGACAAGACCCTCCTTAATTCATACAGAGATAAAGTGAGGGAGGGGAGAAATACATTCAATTTATTAAATAAATTGAAAAAATTAAAGCACATTTAGACTTGCAAGATTCAATTACTATATGTACTGTACTGTACTATACTGCATATACACTATACAATAAAAGTAGTCCTGACTTGTATGGCATTGGTTTCTTAGTTTGGTCTACCTTATAGGGCTAACACACACGAAGATCCTTTTTATATATAGTATAGCAGAACACAACTAATTGTGAGTCAACAGCTCTCCATGCCAGTTCCAGTCTTATAAATAAGCCTGCATTTCCCAACAAAATCTATGCATTGTATGCAAACACAAAAACTGTCTACAATTCCACTTTGATAATCATCATGGTGTGCTATTTTATTAGAGTGCCACCCAGGATCTCAAATGTGCATCAAATTAGATGATCAAAATGGAAGATCAGAATAAGCGTTGCAGGAAACAGTGTCATGTGTCTTGATTGATTGATTGATTTCATTTATAAGGTTTATAAACTGCCTTACTCCAGAGGCAGTGGGTGGTGTATGAAGTCAGGAGGAACAGATTAATTTCAAGAAGCAGCAGTCCTTTTATTTTCAGAAGTTTCCAAAAACCTGGTCAAACTAGATAAGTTTGCCAACAGCCCCAAATTCAGAATCTGAATAATACCAAAAGATGTCAACATTCAACCTTTATCATCAGATTCACGTTCCTTGTTTTCAAACACGAAACCCATGACTTGATTCAAAAGCCAATACATTATAGAGATTACTTCATGTAGCTAGGAATAGCAACCATGTATGGGGTAAAATAATCCCCAGGTGCTATTTAGAGCTCTGTTCATTACCTCAGAAATTAGGAAATTGAAATGATTAATGTTGTATGTCTGGTCTTTGGTGCAGTATGTTTTATTTGCTGATGTTTTATTGCTTATCATTTTTCTTTGTATTTAATGTTTTTAACCTGTGTTAGCCACCCGGAGTTGCTTGGCAAGTAGGCAGCCGTATACCTGAAACGAATAAGTAAATAAATAAACAGATAGATCGATATGTTATTCTGACTTGTTCAAACTGGGGGAAGCTGTTTTGTACTTTCCTACCTGGTGCCCCAGAGCTTGCACCATCAGAATTTGGATTTTATGTAACGGGTGTGTCTTCTCTCACATCTAAAGGAGGAAAGAGAGCTTCCCAACACTCCATCTACCCAGCCAGAGGCTGTCAGAGGCAATGGATCAATATCAGGTAAAAGAATGGAAGAACGAATTGTGGCAAGTGTACCTGAAAGGTGTATTCTAAAATGCATCAGATTAAACCAAACTAAACTCTTTCAAGTTTGATTTGAAGCATTTGAGAACTGAGTTGGTTTCAGGTGTACGTGCCACTTGGAAAAGGCGATTAGATTGAAAGTCTTCAGTTGTAAGTGCATACTTATTTGCCTAGGAATGTATCTTATTGAATCAGTGAGCCGTAATGTTTTTATTGAGAGATGGAAGGAAACGTAATGAAATTCACAAGACACTGTATTTTTCTCCTAACTGTAGCTGTACTATGATCCCTCTAGAGCCTTCTAAAAACAGTAGCTATTGGCCATGTTGGTGGGAATGATAAGAATTGTAGCCTAATGCATGGGAGTGTAAAGAAGGTTGCTGAAAATTGCTTTTAAAAAGAGCTAACCTGCTTTTTGGAATCTAATTCTGCTCTCCCTCTTTTCTGCATTTTACAAGTCCTTTAAGAGAGCTCTTTGCTTTTTTAATACATCCATCGGTTTTGCATTCAAGGCACCATACCTGAGAATTATTGGCGGAAGAGAGAATCCTACTTGCAGCCTGATCTTATGCATGTTTTCACGTAATTTAAACCTTTCAGTAGTTATAGTTACAAGTTTTTACATTTGAACCATGAGCCAATCTTCTTTTAAATTAACCATTTAGGGTGTCACTTTTTTTGCCTTAATAAGAGCATTAGTTCCTTGCTTCTTTTCCTGTTCTATCAGTTGGGAATAATACTAATATTCACACTTGTATTATCAGGTTTGGCTCCTCATTTTGAGTTTGCACAAGCTCAAGTGTGCCAGGAGAATCTAGAGCACCATCCTTCTGGCCACCTGCCACCTGTTAATTCAACTCAGCACCAACCAGATGTGGATCAGCAGCTGCACATGTATCCTGGAGATGGACATTCTTCAGACAAGACAGATGCTACTTTAGAGACTTATTTAGCAGGAAATGACCAAGGTTTCATTTTGTCTTCAGAAAGTCTTTCAAGTAATCTTTCCTCACATCTGAATCAGCCACCAGGTAAAGATGGGTGCTGCTGCAGCAGTTATCCGTGATGTTCTGTCAGTTGACTTTAATTTAAAGAACAACAGGGCCACCATTACTGCTTCTTCCTATTGCATCTCATTCTCCTCTAGTGGAGTGGAAAGACAGTTGGGGGTGGAGAGTGAAAGTGATCACTAAATGTAAGAAATTATTGAAGGAAAGAAATATATTTCATCTAGAAAAAGATAGTATATATGTGTTTAGTAGTGGATTATAGACTACTTAAAGAAGACACCAAAGAAGAGGAATAATTGTTCATTCAAGAGGTAGAACATAAAACAACCAAAGAATTCTGAGTAGAATCTCAGGTTTAAGTACATTTGGTAGAACATCACATTCTACCTCTGCTGAAGGTAGTGATCTAAAACTAATTCAATTAGCTAAGTGAGACTCTGCCTTTACAACTCAGCTCCGATAACTGATTGTTTCTTTCAGATTTCACAAATAATGTTGATAATGCCAAGTTGTGTTTATGTGTTAAATGATTTATTTTTAAAGCCTTGAATGGCAGGAGGCAAGAAGGCGATCCTTATCTTGATGTTAAATTCCTTCCATTTGCTAATCCTCTGGACATTAGGAAAAATGTGGATTGTTTGAGAGAGAAGGCTGAGATGTTTTGATGGGTGATTTTGAAGACTGTGTAACAGCAGGCAGAAAATGATGTGATGAAAAACCCTCCAGAGAAGGGAAAATAAACGAAATGCAGAGCAGAGATCCACCTGCCCATGTGACTCCATTCCACTTTAGTTGGTCTTTTTCTACTCAACTGATTTACAGTAAAACACTGTGAAATACTCTAAATCAATGAAAGCCTGAGAGTGTTCCATAATCCTGTGAATACTAACCCATTGTTTTTGTCCCCTGAAATCACACTACATAATAGCAATAATAATAATAATAAAAAACCCCTAATGTTGTCAAAAACGATCTTATTTTGGCTCCCGTATCTTCTGCTCTGTGCTATAATGCTTGTTTAGTAGCCTTTTCATTACCTCCAAAGATGGTACTGCAACAGTTCTGTCAATTTCCAAACTATTCCTGTGTGTGCATGCTTGGAACTAAATGCCACTCTGGGCCAAGTTAGATATTATCTCTGAGATTGATGATAGGCTCTTTCCATGTAATTTTCTCCTAAAAGCTGTGGAGATCCTCTAGTTGGTTTAGAGTTATAACTAGGCATGCACGTTGATAATTCCTCTGTGCCATAGTCCCAGTCCATATACCTTCTCTTCCCAGCACCATTTGTCTTGATCTACAGTTGACATTTGTGATTGCTTTTAGGAGAAACAAATTATATAGGGAAATCAGGTCAGATTGGATTCTAAGGGTCTACCAAATAGTGGCTAAGGAACAATGAGAACTTTTTTGTTTGCCTACTTTCTAAAAGCACATTAGACTGAGGGCTAAAGTAGATGTGACATTAATCACACTATTTGATACTTTTGTTGATATGTAAATGAGGACCCAGCTTAAGTCCTGCCTGTGAAATGTATGCATTTTTTCCCCTGACCCTGGTCCAAAATCCTATTTTTCTTTCACAGGATGCCTCCAAACAGAGACCTATGCAAATATGAGAGTTCAGAGAGCAGAGTTTTATTAGGATAAGGACAGAGGGAGGAGAAAAGTATCCCCTTCATTCCGCTCCTGGGTTCATAGCCCAGGTACTAAAAACAAGCACAGAAATAAGTTGAAAAAAACCCTTGCCTTTTTTTGCCACAAGAGGGAGGACTTTCTTTTCCTAAGTTCTTCAACACTCCTGCTTAAGGAAATGTCTTCAAGAGGCTGCTTTTCATCAGAGAGAAAACCAGGGAGAGCTAAATGGAAGAGTGGGTCCATCCTGCATTTATTTCTCTCTCTCTCTCTCTCTCTCTCTCTCTCTCTGTGTGTGTGTGTGTGTGTGTGTGTGTGTTTGAAATTTGTTTCCTAAGCTTCACTAAACAGTGATACTGTCGCAATACTGGACTAAGCTCCAAATTGCCTTGTGAATCTGTCAGAGAGTTTATTTTACTCTTTCAGCCACTGTAACAAAACCATATCCAACACTGTGACACATGAGGATCAATTAGCATTGTTCAACATTCTCTGGAAAATAATGGAGGGGCTGTAATCGTGTATAACAGAAAACATGGTTTATTTTTCCCAATAAAATTGGAACGAGGAAGATTTGGACATGAACATGTTTATTACCTGCTTTTGCCTGCCTAGACCCATATATAGCACTGATTCTTTGTCAGAAGCCAGATCTTTTAGATGCCCAGAGGCCGTTACAGGGTATGAGGGTGGACTGTGAATACTGTTCCATTATTTATGGAAGCCTAGTCTTGAATAATGCTCTCAAATTTGGTTTGGTCTGCAGGGGAGACTGTAGAATCTTGTGGGCAGGGCCACTTCCCTGGTGATCCGAAGAAGCACATTCCAGAACATCAGGTGAGAGGAGGAGGAGAAGGATGCATGATAGTGGCAGGATCCAGGAATCAGATCTAAGATTTTTTTCTTCTTTTTGGCAGCCACAGTAATCCTAGACTAACTCTTGTTTCAATGCCATCCAGGTGGGCAACCTTGATAAGCTTTTGGTCTGACCCAGCAGGGCTCTTATGATATGTGCCACCTCTCTTGGTTCACATCTGCTTTTTGAAACTGGGGCCACTGAAGTAAGAACCTTGGAATCCAATAGAACGCTAGGGAAATCATTTGTAATTTGTATCCCACTTTCTTGTATCCCACTAGTGACTCATGCATTACAAAAAGCAGCAGTTCTGTGATGAAACTGGATGTGTGAAATTTGAGCACCAGGGCTATTTTCTGCCATGGACTTCTTGTTGGCCTTGAGAAAGTCACTATCTTCGACCTTCCATCTTTAACAATGTTGATTTGTTATAGGAATAGGAACAATGTTGATTTGTCTCACTGGATTTTCTGTTCTATTAACTTAGGTAAGGAAAGATTTTGACTTAGCCTCAGTTTTACAAATAGGATGATAAACCAACTGTGGAATTAGGCTACCAACAATACTATCTTGTTTAGTTATCTCTATGGATCTGCTCTCTTCTGGTTACTTTATGCTAATGTTTTCTCTCTGATATCAGACCGCTTTTAATGTGCGGACCCGGACCATTTCTGAGAGTTCCACAATATCCATGGCAGAAGATGCCCCTCCGTCCCCAGAAGGCTCATGGGATGAAGCCTCATCAGAGAAGAAATTAGTGGAGAATACAGGGCAAGAGGTAGCAAAGGTGAGGCACTCTTGTTGAAAAGGACAGCTGTATTATCTGAAAATTATGCAGATCTGAAAGGTAGGACTGTATTTTACTCTACCTTGAAGATGCTGGGATCATTGTACGTAATTGACCCATACTGAAATTCGTACAACACATAATTGCATTATGCCAGCCAATTCATATTTACTCAGAAACAAGCCCTATTAAATTCATTGTTTATTACATTCAAGTGAGAATATGCAGGCTTCAGTTCTGAGAAAATCAGTTTAGATCTAGCAAAAGAGAACATCATTATTTATTTGCTTTGAATATATCTATTTCCTTTGGTAGGTAGGTAGGTAGGTAGGTAGGTAGGTAGGTAGGTAGATAGATAGATAGATAGATAGATAGATAGATAGATAGATAGATAGATAGATAGATAGAGTCAATTTCCAGATGGACTCATGGCAGTGTAAAATAAACCAAAATGCAAAAATAATAATCTTTAAAAGAGTCAAACCATATAATAAATTGCTATAACAACAACAAAATAGATGACGGGTTTTACCTCTGTTTTTTAAGGCTTTTTTAAAAAGGTCAGTAGCAATGGATCCATCTGGATTTCTGGTAGGAGGCTGTTAAATAGGGTATTTGCAATTGATACACAAAATCTCTTCCTTTCCCATGGTCCTTATATTAGGGAGGAACCCTAATCATCCCTACTTGAGAAGCACACAGTGAATGGATAGGATCTACTTGAAGTAGATGGTCATGTATGGTTTTAAAAGTCAAAATCAGCACTTTGATCAATTTGATCAAAATGAGCACCTGGAAGCCTGCTGGTGACCATTGTAGAGCCCTAAGCCCAGTGTTATGTCTGAATAATGGCTCTCATCTTCTAATAGATAGTTTGTTGGAGCAGTTGTAGATTCTGAGTAGTTTTGAAGTCTAGACTGCTTTGCAAAAATCTAATTGGGACACGAGAAGGGCATGAGTTAGTGTCTCCAGGCCTCCTTCTCAAGGAAGAGCTGCAAGTGATGCACCAGCCAGTGCTGAGCAAAGGCCCCTTAGCTATAAGCTCCCCCTGTCTATCCACCAATAGCCATGAGTCTAAGCGATCCTCAAATTACAGAGCTGTTCTTTCAAGGGGAGGACTACCCCTTCCAGAATTATCACTGGAGCAAAGAGAGAGCCATGTGGTTTCTGGAAAAACAGCAACTTGGTCTTCCTGGGATTCAGTTTCAATCTATTTTTCCCATTCAAATCCATACAACCTTCAGGCATTAGTCAGGACCTCCACCATATTACTGGCTTGGACAGGGTAGAGATGCCTATCTGGGTATAATCAGAATAGTGGTGATACCTCACCCCAAACTGAGAGGTCTTCTCCCAGCAGTGTCATGTAAATGTTAAACAGCAGGAAAGAGAGAGAGAGAAGAAGCCTTTGGCACCCCATATTGTAGTGGGTAAAGGGTTGGCCTCTCTTTTCCCACTATCGCCATCTGAAATCATCCATTCACAAAGGCATGGAACCATTGTGAAATACTGCCTCCACTTATATGATTTCAAAATAAGGGTCAGATGAAATAAGAACAGATTGAGCCAGACTACGGAAGTGTAATGGAGCTGTCAGGTGTGAGGACACACAATAGGGAGATTTGTTTGTTTCCATGCCTGTATGTGCGCTTCTCAGAAGCATTTCATTGGGTTCTTTTGGAAACAGAATGCTGGACCAGAGGAGGAATTACAGGAATGAACATCCACTGTAGATGAAGAGGATGAGGTTGGGGAAAGTTCATATGTTCAACAGCAACAATGTGAGATTCTGGTTTCTCCTGCCCCTTCATAGTTACTTACACTATTTTATACAATGCAACTATGATGTGCCTATGGCAGGATCAGAGAGTCAATGTCTCCTATGTTCTATCTTGCATTAGTGACATTTATACCAGGTTCTTGGAGGAGGTGTGTGTGAGAGAATATTGTGAATATTTTTTAGTGGCATGTCTTTAAGAAGGTAGTCCTTTCTACTCTGCCTGCAGAACAAGGCAGGGAAGCACAACAAGGCAGGGAAGCTTCATACTGGTTTGGAGGCCTTCAGGCTTGAGAGAAGAAAAGCCCAGCAAGTTCCACTCAAAATTTTGTATCCCTCCAGACTTCTGGTTTTGGCTGGCTCCGTTGGTTCCGTTCCAAAGCAAATAACGATGGAGCATCATCCGAAAAAGTTCCAACTGCTTCTTTGGACTCAACTGCTCCAGTTTCCCAGGTAACACAGGGTCTTTTTAGAAGAAAGGGTTTGGGTTTTTTTGGTTCTCAGCAATCTGTCCTCTTCAGAAAAATCTCCTACTGTTACTCTGCAGCAGCAGAATCTAGTAGAACAGCAGGAGCTACCATGAATGGTCTTTTAACTGATAGCAGTTCCGAAAGCATCCAAGGAACCCCCAGCTTGAAAATAGTATCCTAGATCCATCATTTCAGGAAGGCTAAATAAAAAAAAGTGGGACCACTATTACTTTTACAGGATATTTGTGTTTTGTAGGAAACCAGTAAGGCACTGAGGGTGGAGTTGAGGGTTTGGGGAGTTTTGCATTATATCTGCCAGCGGCTTATGCCAAGGGGAAGGGGGGCTGAACTATACCAGAAAGGCTGGAACTGACAGCTTCATCTGATACAAAAAAGGTTAAGGATTAGCTTGTATGCTCAACAGAATCAAATAGTAAAGCTTTTGTCAGATTGTATCACTTTCAGCTACTGTGGAGATCAAATTTTAGAGTGCCCCTATCAAACCCAAGTAAAAAAAGAACAACTGTAAGTAAAAATGAACACAACAGTCTGTTCGTCGATAGAAAAACAGCATGCTGAAGAGAAAATGTCTTGTTTGTGCAGAAAGGTTTTCACATAGGGGAACATTCTCTCTCGCCTCTTGCACCCTGCAGTGGGAGTGTCTAAATAAAAATTCACAAATGCATTATTCATTTGTTGTCTCTTGTATTAGTCTTCTTCTCTTCCACATCTCAGTCTTTGTGTATTTGCCTTCCCACTTCAACTTCCAACTTTGCACATACAGTATAATATCTCCAGTTCCCACGACAAGTGTTTTGTTAGTATTTATAATGTCGTTGTTAAGATTTACTACACTGGATGTTTCTTTTCTCTTCCACATATCCTGGTTTCATGTTAATTGTTCTCTAGCATTTCTTTTCATTTGTTTCATCAGTACCTAGATGAAATACTTGCTTATTTTTATTGATTGCTTAGCACTTAGTTGTGTAGGAATAACAACATTGTTAATAATGCAGTTATTGACACAGCAGCTGGCTATACTTGGGCAATCCTGAGTCATCTCAGAAAATGGGATTGAACATGGTTAACACTAGGATGAAAACCACTAGGAAATTTTGGGGCTGTAAGCTAAACTGGGAAGTTAGAAAACATCCCAGAAGAAAGCAATGGCAAATAAGTGTTTTATTTATTTATCTATTTTGATTTATATCACTGCCCATTTCACAAATGTGACTCTGGGTGACTTACAATAAAAATAGCTAAAAAACCAAATAAAGTATATACAGTCTAAAAAATAAGACACACAGCAGCTGGAATCATAAACAACCATTAACACAACCAGGAGATGGGCACCGAGGCATACTTGGGGCCCCAGGCTCAGGCACAAAAACAGGTTTTTAAGGCCTTGCAGAAGGCTAGCAGGGTCAGGGCCAATCTGACCTCTGGAGGGATTATGTTTCAGTGGATGGGAATCCCAGCAGAAAATGCAGTTATTGCCTCCTCCTGCCCCCTCCTCCAACCAACACTGCTTAGCCGATGGGACCTGGACCATACCTCTGTTGCTGGATTGGGTAGGATGAGTAGAAACAACTGGGAAGAGACGTTTCCATAAGTGACCTGGTCCCAAGCCATGAAGGGCTTTAAAGGTGACAACTAGCACCTTGAATTGCACCTGGAAGCAAACTAGTAGCCAATGCAGCTCACAGAGCAGTGGTGTCACATGTGCCAAATAACTGTCCATGTCACCGCATTCTGCACCAGCTGAAGCTTTCAAATACTCTTCAAGAGCAGCCCCACTTAGAACACATGGCAGTAGTCCAGTCTGGAGGTCACAAGAGCATGAGTGATTGTGAGCAGGGCCTAGTCCAGGAATGGGTGCAATTGATGCACAACCTGAAGTTGTATAAAGGCCCTCCTAGCTATGGCTGTCACCTGCTCCTTAAGCAGGAGCTGTGAGTCCAAGAGGACCCCCAGATTGCACACCAGCTGTTGGAGGGAGTGCCTCCCCATCCAGGACCAAAGATGGAAGGTCCCCAGAACTAGGAGATCCAAAAACCCAAAGCAACTCAGTCTTGCTTGGGTTGAGTTGAAGCCTGTTGCACCCAGTTCAGGCCATCCCACCACCAGGCACTGAGACAGAACCTCAATGGCATCACTAGGCAACCTGGGGTGGAGATATAAAGCTGAATATCATCAGCATACTGATGATACCTCACCCCAAACAGTTGGATGACTTCACCTAGCGGCTTCATGTAGATGTTAAACAGGAAGGGAGAAAATACCAAACCTTGTGGCACCCCACAAAGGAGGGGCCATGGGCTTGACCTCTCCCCCCATCAACACTGACTGCTACCAACCCCGGAGGAAGGAGGAGAACCAGCACAACACATTACCGCCCACCCCCAACTCCCAGAGCCAACCCAGAAGGATGCTATGATCTTGCTGAGAGATCAAGAAGAGCTAGGATGGATGCACTACTCCCATCTCACTCCAACTCGAGGTCATTCAAGAGTGTGATCAATGCCAACTTGATCCCATACCCAGGCCTGAACCCTGACTGAAAGGAGTCCAGATAATCTGCTTCTTCCAGGAGCCTCTGAAGCTGCAGCACAAGCACCTTCTCTACAACTTTCCCAAAAAAGGGAAGGTTGGAGACTGGATGAAAATTGTCCAGAATGGTAGGGTCCAGCAATGGCCTCTTGAGGAGGGAACAGACCACTGCCTCCCTAAGAGATGGCAGGACCATCCTCTCAGGAATTAACCACTGCCTGGGCCCAACCACATGTCCCTTCCCAGGAGGCCTTAACCAACCAGGAGGGACATGGTTGATTTGACAGCCACAAGAATTGTTGCCAAAAAATCCTACATGAATATATCTGTATAGTCACCAAGAGTTGAACCAGACATGAAGGTGTATTTGAATAAAGCAGTGCTGTTGAAGAATTTAAGATCCAGTCACATATGATTACCCTGACATTCAATGGAGTATCAGAGATGTGATGAGAAGAAGATATTGTTAACAAGAACAAAAGAGTCTGACAGGCAACAAATGATGCCAGGGACTTCAATCAGGAGTATATGTACTTGCCATAGAAACAGGACCAAAGTTGTCTTTAAAAAGACTTCTTGTGTTTGTTTTCTTTGCTTCATAAGTTTATCTCCAGGACTCAAATCCTATTTAGAATTCTGTGACAAGGGCCAGAATAGCAGAGAATAATGGAAGAAGAAGAGTGTGGTTCTTTAAGACAGAGGAGGAAGAAAGAGGACCAACAGAAAAGGTCTAAGGAACTGTCTATTCCTGAACCTTGTCCTCAGGAAGACATTCTCAGGTTTTCTCAGACAATACTGTGTTTCTTGGCTTGGAGGTTAACTTTCAAATTCTCAGCTAGATTGCTCGTTTCTCTAGTTTCTGAAGTAAGCCTACAGCCAGTTGACATGCAATTAGCTTTCTGGGGGCAATCAGAAAATAAGAATAATCAACTCAGCCAATGTGTGCCACAGGAGTTATAGACAAAATGATGTCATTGAGGAACAAGATGGAGGTACTGTCATGCTTAGGAGAACTCAGGAGTTTTTAGAAGTACTCTTCCCCCCACTGAGATCTCCCCCTTCAAATGCTCCAGTAAAGACTGAATATGTTTAGTAGCCCCCCACTGAACATGCTGGGCAGATGTGGCTCCAGCTTTTATTACAGTCACTTTACTGCCCAACAAAATGTTGAAAAATGAAAAGAGATATTCTGTATCAACAAGCATCGGCCCTGGTGGTTCTCATGCTGCATCAGTTCTTCCTTCCACACCAATCCTGCTTCTCTCTGTCAGTTGGTTAGGAGGCTCTTGGGGAGATTTGTATGACTTAATTGTATTCCCAAAGCATTTTGAATCATGATTGTTTGTAAAGAGGAACTCTCAAATATAATGAATGGATTGGCTGATCTCACAAAATAGCAGAAGGAAAAAGACCTTCTGATCAGTTTGTTTCATTTGAGTTTCCCTTGGCAAAAAAATGGCAATTGGAAATGCATCAGGAATAAACTTGCTGCATCTAAATTATATATTTCTTTCTAATCTTTTGCTGGTCTTTTGCTGTTTTTTTAAAAAACTCCTTTGCTACAAGGCCCTGGGTTTGTGCTACCAAAGGAAGAGTGTATATGCCCTAAAGTCCAGCCCCTAATTAGTAACAACTAATGCTAACCATTGGACAGCTCATTTTCTTCCAGGAGTTCTACCTGATTGTTTTGAATTTCAGGATTTATTGATTTATTTATTTAAAAGATGCATATGGCCACCCATCTTGTAGCACACAACTCAGGGTGGCTACAGACAGTGATAAAAAGCACAAACAATAAACCAATACAAAAAAGAAAAGAAGAAAAATCAAGAAAAAACAGGCACCCAATCTATAGCAATATCCATTCATCTCTTGGGTCTCTGGGCTCCAAACTTACTGTCCCAGTGCCTGTGGGAAAAACCAGCTCTTCACTGATTTAAGGAAGGCCCAGGGGATGGGGGCCCACCGGATCTCAAGGGAAAGGGTGTTCCACAGTCTTCACAGGAAGGTTGAAGATAATTTTTGAAAACAGCCAACAGCTAATTTATTTCATCACTGTTGTATATTTTCCTTCTCCAGGAGAAAACTGCCCAGCCTGTTTCAGTTTCACCCATGAATGAGGCAAAGCCTGCATCACTTCATTGCCCTCCTCCTCTTTCTCACACAGAAGGCAATCCTTTTTCCAAGAGATCTCCAGGTAAATATATCCCTGCATGTTTCTGAATGAATTGCTCCATATATCGCTAGTTTAGTTGTAACTAAAAATATTCTGTGCACAGATGTTTTTGCAATTTCCCCCCCTTTTTTTGTGGATAATCGTACCCAAGATTTTTGGTACATCCCTCAACATTTGATATGTTCCCTTGGAGATAGGGAAAACCAATGAGATTTGTCATCAAGGGGAAGGAGTAGAGGAGAACTTCACACAAGTAGAAGTACAGTTAGTCCTCATTGAATAACCACTCGAACTTACAACAGTGCTGAACGAGGGGGACTTATGATGAGTCCTCAGTTGCAGCCATTGCAGCATCCCTGCAGTCATGTGATCCTGATTTGGGTGCTTGGCAGCTGACTCATAATTACGATGTTGCAGCATCCCGCAGTCACATGATCACCATTTGTGACCTTGACTGCTGGCTTCTGACAAGCAAAGTCAATGAGGAAGCTGGCAGGAGGTCGCAAATGGTGATCATGTGACTGGGGGATGCTGTGACTCTACCAGATTCACCTAACAACGGCAACTGGGACTGCCACAACTGCCATTGTAAGTTGGTGTTGTCATGTGACATCACACCTTACGACTGCATTGCTTAGAGACAGTTGTTGCTCTCAATTATTGTTGGTAACTGAGGACTACCCGTACTACAATGCTGCTTTAAATCTCACCATTAAAAAACATATAATATCTGTTATTTCTCCAGAAGCCCAAAATCCACAAGGCCATAGCAGCTTGGAAGCAGCTGTAGTTTCAGATGCTGGTTATCAGGTGAGATAAGGAAAACAGTGTTGTATACAAAATGAAACCTCTGGTTTGGAAGAGAAATGTCACTGGGGAGGTCAAAAATCCAGTCACGCAAACTTTGGGAATTCAGGTTGGAAGAAGAGCAAGCCAGCTGTTGTGGGAACATTATATTTGGTGCTATATTCTAGTGATAGGTGATCATGTGCCCTCCCAATGTCTCTGTTTACAGTTTCCATAATAATTTTGACTTGGCCTGATTGGAGTTGAAATCTAAAAATATCTGGAAGAAACCAGATTGCTGCCCTTTGGCCTCCATCTTGAGTGATTCTGTTGTATGTAACTTGGTATTTCTTCTTGCTTTTCTTAACAACTCTTGACAGTTCATAATTTTTTCTCCTGATATTTCAGATTAATTCCTTCAGACATCAGTACAACCCTGATAGTGTGCCTCTATTCCCCACAGAAGGGGCAGTTCCATTGTTCAATCCTGCTCAGGTATGTGTGTGTACACATGTGAAGGAGGGGTAAAGAAAGAGGAGTTTCAGGCCAGAAAACTATATTGTAAATACTGTAAACAACAACATAAGAATGTTATCAGTAGAACAGAATGTGAATCCCTCTAGTATTCCCTTCTCCAAGTTGGTGCCCTCCAAATAATGCCTTAATACTAGAAATTGATGTCCATCAAATCTAGATAGCACAAGGTTCAGAAAGACCGATCCAATTGAACATTTTCTTGCAGACTAGCCAGGAGGGAGGTAATGGTTTTTCTAGCACTTTGATCCCAGTCTCTTGTACTAGAGGTATACTTTCTGTATATTTGGAGACATATAGAGAGAAATGTATGGGGAAGCTTAATTGTTTCAGTTATCTATTATGGCTTCTCTATCAAATATAGCTTTGGATGAGTTCATTGACATGAAAGATATTGGCAAAGGTCCTTGGGCAGAGTTCTTGAGGCACAGGGTAATGTTGATGCCTTTTCATAACCATCACTTTGGAGCTGTAACAGTGCAAAAATGTTGACATCTTAAATATTCTTATTGCACAGTCAACACTGGATCATTTGAAGGCTATGAAAAACTGCCAATTTTACAAGACGGTTCTTTCTTATCAGGTCACTACACCAGCAGCCTCTGGCACTGGGCATCTGCAACGGAGTTTTCAGAAGTACTACCCACAATACAAATAATCCAGGATACTTCTATGACTGTCCCTCTGATCAGAAGCCATTTCCTTACCCAAAGACGGCAGTTCTGTGATCTCTTTGCTACCCTTCTTTACTGGAATTAGAGCTTGTTATCAAAAGGATAACAGCACAAATGTGAGCAGATGGATAGGCCTCTTCCACTTCTATTTGCTTGGTACTTTTTAAAACACAGTTTTACAGCAGATGGTGTGGAGACGAACATAAAATAAAAAGGGAAGACCCTCTTAGTTTCTGTTCTGTTCTGCAAAGAACTTAGCAGGGAACTAGTTAATACTCTACATTTGCATAGGATCTCTTATATATTTGGTTGAGAACAAATCTCACTGAGATCAGTGTAATTTTTGGGTAAATTAAATTATGCTGCTATGTATCAAAGAACAACATATACTTAAACATAGTTACTTGGCAATAAATCTCCTTATTTTATTTGTACATTAAAATTTTAAGATGTTTTGTAACATACTCAAGGTTAGGGTTAGGGCCTGTGGATCTAGCCTGTTATTGCTATGAAGACTCTGCTGTCTTCATTCCTAAAGCAGGGTTCTCAAACTTACCACTGCCCTCCCCCCCAAAAAGTCATTTTATGCAGTGCACAAGATTACTTCCTAGATGTTGATCTTGAAATAATTTTACATGCCGTCCCAGTAATAAAACCAAATATTGGTGTTCTGATTAATGAAAAATGCTGCCAGTTCAGTGGCCAAAGTGAAATGGCCATAAATGTTTTCCGAATAATTTTATGTTTATTGGCATATTGTATTCTTCATTTCTTCCATTTTGATTCACTGGAGACTTTTGTATCAATATATGAAAACAGTGTTTTTTCAGTGTTGTAGCCCTCAATTTGTGAACTGGTGAACTAACCCATAAGTAGCACTTGTGATGATTTGAGTTTGAGACCCTTGTCCCGTAGTGTGTCTCTCCCCCGGCCCCCTTTGAGGTTATCTGGTGGAAATCACCATTGCTGGGAAGCATAGATAGACTGCATTGTCCTGAGGAAGCTCTGCGCATATCTGGTCACCAGTAATCCTGCTTGGAATACTTTTTCTAGTGTCTTTGCTAAGTTCCACAAAATCATAATCACATTTCTTACTCTCACTTTGACTCGGGGAGTATACTGCACTTCTGGATCGTCTTTTAACCCTGTATAGCATTGACATTTGTCTAATACAAATCTGTTGGTGGTACATTAAATATTGTATGAGGTACTGTTTGTAAACTGCCATTCAAGCACGTGAGGGAAAAAGCAATGGTCTTGTGATCTTCAGTTGCCATTAAAACCGCAAGCTTCCCAGCAATAACATTGGAACTGTCGTGTAGAAAACAATAAAAAAGGTCGCCTCTCCTACCAACTAATTGACCTCAGTTTCTTAAATAGGTGTAGATGATGCCTTTTTTCAAATTCCTGTATACATTACAGAGTAAATAGCAAGAAACAGTTTGCAGCTAGAAACTAACACTTACTGCATAGTCACTTAACAAAGTATTCTCCGCCCAACTTCCTTAGTTTTCTGATCACATACTTAAAAATTGCCTGGTCAGATAAGACCAAGGCTCATTTAACCCTTTCAAAAATTGGCCTCTAGAGATTCATGTGTAGGGTGTAAAATTGATGACCTCTTTGTTCACAACAGCTAGTGATTTGCCAAAGTTATTATCCACAGATCCTTGATTTCTTGTTCTGCTTGTGGTATATGTTGCAACTACTATTTCAGGGTTATGGCTGGGAATCCCTTGACCTTGTCACATAGATATATTACTTCTGTATATGGGGTTTTATCTGTATACTAGTTCCATTAGCTGTTTTTGCTAGACATGTCCTCCATACTGGAAGAATATGTACATTTTTATCTCCTAGGTAAACGCTATAGATAAGAGATTCCCATGCATTTATACTGGAAACTCTCCTTTTCCCTTATATCTTGAATCACAAACTTGATGGAGTTCTGGTAATCACTACCCTCAGAAATATCCATTACCCCACTACCCCAGTTAACTCCAAGATATTTATCTACCACCACATTTCCTCTGTCTAGCTCAGTTCATAGTCTAGCTCAGTTCACCCAGGATAACAATTGCAGCCAATAGGTCGACTGAAATTCTTGACAGCAACAGATTTGGGAATTAATTAGTATGAAGACAGCATCTTGGCTTTCATTGAGGATTCATGGCAAAGTAGACATCCATGAAGGAGCAGTGACAGCATTGCAGCAGATATCAATGGCCAGATGGTGAATTCTGCCTGGTGAAATCTCTCCAGAAAAGAGATTGGGAAATCGCCCACATGTACTCCGGACAGCTGCTTCTTGTGAATAGACTGCAGGAACTGAGGTTTTTGTGGTCAACTTGTGAGTTGAGCAGCTGGAAGTCGAAGGATTTCAACCAAGCACACAGCTATAATGTAGCCTATACGGACAGAAAGTTCACCAAGCCTCATTTCTTAATCATTTTGGGAAATTGCTTCCTAACTGTCTTTTAGATATTAGGAACCTTCACAACAGCAAGTTTTCGAGCACCAGGTGAGTCTTCTTCAATCCTTAGCAAAAGGAGTTTTAAGTGCAGGTTTAAGGATTTAAAAGAATTCTTGTCAGACCCAGCCCAAGAACAACAACGAGGCAGTCCAGTCCAGTATAGTTCCTTGATTAGCTTGCACCTAATAGAATCTCGCCAGACTAAACCTTATTTTTTCTTTCTTTTTTATTTCTCTTCTAATTTTTCCTTCTTTTCTGCACTTTCTATTTTTTATATCCTTTAATTTTTTTTAAGTTCTTATCTTTTTAATTGTAAAGTTTAATAAAGGTATTTTAAAAAAAGGATCAAGACAGCATCTCCTGCATCCTATCTGCTAAAGAAAAAAATGGTTCTTTGCATATAAATTGCTTGGATAGAGAGCAGTCTGAATCAGATTGTAAGACTTATTTTAGTTGTTTCTCCTTCCGGTGAACTGAGTAAGGCCAGCTGTAAACCTGTAACAAGCACCTACACGGGGAATCAGCATCTGCAAAAGAAAAGTTAGTTTTCGTCATTTCTTCATCCAATCAATCTCCTGTTCTAGCTAGGATTTATTCTCTGCAAGGACATGATGTAATGACAGCAAAACATTTGTCCCCTTCAACTTCCCAGAGGGCCAACAAACACCCAGTAGATGATCTTCGGTGCACTTCCATCTGACCCTGAATATCCTGCAAACAGACTAAAATATGAATCCAGGCCCAGCCACCTTTTTACATGAGGATGCATAATGTATCCTCCCGACATGCAAATCCAGGAGTATGCTAATTAGGATTTTATCCGAGCAGCACCTTCTATTTCAGTGTGCTTCGCAGGCAGCAGCAACTCAGTCCTGTTCCTGTAGTCAACAAGTTCATCTCCAGAGGATGCATTTATATATCTTTTTTCATCTATTTAGAGTACTTCTAACTCCTCCCTCCCCAATTCTAAAAAAAATTTGGGCAGTATATAGCATCAAACAAAAACATAATAACAAAATCCAAATTAATGCTAAAAACAAAAGTTAACTACAAAAGCAAAGATAAAAACCAAGATAAATGCCCATGATGAGTGAACTGGGACCAAAAATAAGTTGGAATAACTTGTTTACCAAATTGCAGCAAGAAGGGGCCACACATAGTTCTCAGGAAAGAATATTTCATAAAGTGGGGGCTATTATGGAGAAGTCATGCCATCTCACTCATGCACCATGAACCTTAGTAAGGGGAGGGAACTTTTAGTAGACTCTTTCCCAATGATCCGACCAGACTGGCAGATTTAACTCTGGCAAGGAATTGCCTAATCTATCGCACTTGTGCAATTCAGGGCACTAAAGGTAATGTCCACACTTTGAATTGGACTCAGAAACCAATGCAGCAACTTTAGGTGCAATCTTATATTGGTGGGGCTGCCACGTATTATACTAGCTGCAACTTCTGAGTGAGCTGCAAAAACTCCTTGTACAGTGCGTTTCAGAAGTTCAGCTGAATGGTGATCAAGGCATGAGTTACTGAGGTCAAGCATCTTGGTCCAGGTATGGTCATAACTGGCATGCTAACTGAAACTGGAAAAAGCCCCCCCGACTGATAACTTCCATTGGCTATTTAAGCAGGATCACAAGTCCACGAAGAACCCCAAGTCATGAACCACTTGACTTCCCCCAGGATTACTGCCTGGAATCAATGTAAAATTATTTCCAGTGTTTCCATGTTAGCATACTCTCTCTTTAGGCCTGGTTAAAGATGAAATCTCTATTATACAGAAAAATAAAAATGAATCCAGTTTCCTTGTCTGCTTGATATTAATTTGTCTGGCTAATAAAATCACATTTTCAAGACTTCTGAGTATTATTTATGATCACAAGGAGACAAGGAGCCTATTAAATAGATGCAAACTGGCGTATGTGTACATTGCTTTCATTATGTATGCTGATTGGAATGTCTGTCCTTAGTTGCTGAAGAAGCAACTCAGATGTATACAATTTGCATATATGTCCTTCTCCATGGGTAGACTTGGGGCATCAAATGCTGGGAGAGGGGAGGAGGCATAGAGGGGCATTAAGGTGTGGACAACCAGAATTATTTAGTATAATTGTTCCCAACCTGTAATCTGGGGACCTGTCGTGATCTCTAACAGCACTGTGAGAGGTATCTGGTGCCAAAATAAATCATTTTTAAGAAATTTCCCAAGTTCCAAATTATTAAATCTTACACTTGCTTAAAACTATAGTTTTATGGCATACTTGCCCCAAATCTTGCAAAAATGTCATCAGTCTTGTAAGATTTCAGACTGAAATACCAAGATTTTGGGAGATTTGGTGATTGCCTGAGATTTTAATTTTTATAAACAAACTTTTAAATTGGGGGATACTTGTATACTTGAGGGGAGGCACAGATGCCAGGTGCTCACAGCCACTGCGTTGCTGACCTCTGCCTCATATAGTGGTTGGAAAGCTGTGGTTGGAACCATTACAGGTAGTCCTCTGATTACGATGGCAATTAGAACAGGAAGTTCCATCGCTAAGCAACACAGACATAAAGTGTGATATCATGTGACTGTGCTATTTAGCAATGGCAATCCTGGCAGTCCTGGTTGCTGTTGCTAAGCAAATCACTGTGGGTTGTTAAGTTTCATGTGGTTGCTATTTGTGACCTCCTACCGGCTTCCCTATTGATTTTGCTTGTCAGAAGCTGGCAAAGAAGGTTGCAAAAGGTGACTCTGTGACCATGGGACACTGCGACATCATAATTGTGAGCCAGGCACTAAGCTCCCGGATCATGATCACGTGACCACAGGGATGCTGCGACGGCCAGAACTCCAAGGACTGGTCATAAGTACCACTTGTCCAGCGCCACTGCAAGTTTGAATGAGTGGTTATAAACCAAGGACTACTTGTAGTTTAGAGAAAGCAGCCTGCCAGTTTCCCCTAAGCTCTCCTGCTACCCTCAGGGGGAAGGAAGACACTAAATTTAGAATTGCAACTGAGGAATGGTATTGTCTTAATACAAAGTACCTTTCTTGGGCCAGCCTTGACCCAGCATTTTCCCACTTCCTGCAATATGAATAATTTCAGGAAGAATCTTATGACTTGATAATGTAATGTATGAACCAACTCCTAGATTAGAAAAGTACCTGTGGTGGGGAATTTACAGGCATTGCCCTCTTAATATTCTGCACATAAAAAAATGGAATCTCTAATGTCAGTTCAGAAAAATGAAGTGTTGTCTGTCTTGTCACCAAGGAAATCTGTCAGTGATGCCTACTACTGCAGGCCACCCCTGGGCTTCTCCAAACTTCTCATCTGCATTAACCTGCCACATGTCAAGATACGTTACAATGTGATATGGATGACCCTAGGCCTGGGGAGAAGAGGCCCCCGTGAGCTTGTGAGCGTTGCTTATGGATGGCTACTTCTGGGATATTCTTTTCTTTTTACTTTAATTGAAGAAACAAAACATTAAAATGTGAAATTATTGTTCAAAAGGAAAATAAACCCGAGACCAAAAAAAGCCCTAAAAAAGCACAAAAATTTAGGAGCTTTATATATGTGACTGAATGCATATCTAATCTTAAGGAGAAATGCAGACATTGTAGACATCCATATTATGTATTTGAGTTCAGAACAACACTGGTACAAACTTTACCTATTAGGAAAAACACATTGTTTATATAGCTAATAAAAAGTGATGAGAATTGAATAGACCTTTCCTTAACCTTAGGGCTTTTCATAGTTCTTTGATGTTGTTTTAACTTTTTGGCCAAAGCTATTTTGCTAACTTCCTCTAGGCAGCAGAATCAGGAAACAAATATTTTTAATGTTCAGTCAATGTATATGCATTAGGAAATATAGACGATCAATAGTGGGACTCAGTGTGAAGGATTGTTGGATGGTATTCTCGGTTCCCTTTCCCTCCCTCCCTCTCCCCCAAATGGAACCAGACTTGAGATTGGATTCCTATGCTGCTGAGAATCTATAGCAACCTTTCCAAATGTAACACCCTATAAATATATTGGGACTACAGGCCCTAAAATTCCCAGCCAGCATTTGGGAGTCTGGAGGATACCAGGTTTGGAAAAGTTAATCTACTTTATAGGCAGGATTCTGTGCATTTCATACTAAAACTATGAAAATAAGAATGCAGCACCTATGAAATCCAAATTCTGAGAAGAATTGTTTTTTAAACCCCTACCATAAGAAATTATGCACTATTCTGCTCCTGCTTATCACAAATGGAGCAAGGACTTATTCATGGCAATGAAGCTCCTTGCTATGATTGGCAGAAATCTTTAGCGTTTGGGCAGCCAAATTCATACAACATCACGCACTTCTTTCCAAAAATAGGAGCTAGAAATATAATATTTTGAGAGTGGAAGCAGAGAATCTTAGAAAACCAGATTCTTTCCCCTGAACCACATGAGACAGTTGCTGTAATTTCAGGCTCTAGTAGAATCCCAGCATCTACCATTTGGGGCAAATTGCTCTGCGGCTCACCTTTTAAATATAAGCAAGATGGAAATGCAAGCAAGAAGTTTCATTGAATGAGTGCAGGCATAAAGAACAACTATCATTCACAAGTTTTATTTCACTGACAATAGCGCATAATGCAGAAGCAAGCAATTTTTTTTTGGATAGTCAGAGATTGTGCTTAAAAAGCAATTGGACACCTGAAATCTGCATGTGGGGAATGGGTGGAAGGAAGAATGATGATGTGTGATAGTGTTATACAAATGGCTAAGATGGATTGGAAGGACTGTTGTTGTTTTTATGTGTTATACATGCAAAGCCATTCTAAAGATTTGCACATTTTTTCCCTTTTGATGGAAAAATGATGGGAAGCACCATTTATATATAAATAATAAGGATGCATTCAAATGTGCAGAAAGACATCCTGTTTAACTTTGTGCCATTGTAGAGATTGTGTCAGCTTCTGTTTACCTGGAGACTGAACTGTATAATTTAACTAGGGGTGTGTAAACCTTTGCATGCTTGTGGGCTGCATGCCTCCTGCTGTATGTGGTTTGCTGATCTCTGCTTTATATTATTATTAGCAAATATTAATATTTGTTCAATGTGATTCAGTGTAATGTATATTGACAGCAGAAAGCAACTGCTTGGAATCCCCAATTTACAATAAGAACCAAGATCAGGAACATCTTGAGACACTTCAGTCC